TGTGTGTGTTAGTTAATTGCCCACCATATATATGTGCATGCTATGTGTTTGTGTTTCAGGTTCACTCCCTGTTCTCCCTGCTGGGTCTGAGCCACGCGTTTGTCACCAACACTGGGAGGCTGGTGGGAGTGGTGGGGCTCAAGGAGGTGAGTGTGCTGTGTTCTATGTGTGTTGTGTTGTGTGTTCCATGTGTGTTGTGTGTTCTGTGTGTGTGTGTGTGTGTGTGTTGTGTGTGTGTTCTGTGTGTGCTGGGTCAGAGCCACGCGTTTTTCACCAACACTGGCAGGCTGGTGGGAGTGGTGGGGCTCAAGGAGGTGAGTGTGATGTGTTGCGTGTGTGTTCTATGTGTGTTCTATGTGTGTTGTCTGTTCTGTGTGTGTGTGTGTAGTGTTGTGTGTGTGTGTGTTCTGTGTGTGCTGGGTCAGAGCCACGCGTTTGTCACCAACTCTGGCAGGCTGGTGGGAATGGTGGGGCTCAAGGAGGTGAGTGTGCTGTGTTCTATGTGTGTTGTGTGTGTGTTCTATGTGTGTTGTGTTGTGTGTTCCATGTGTGTGTGTTCTATCTGCGTGTGCTGTGTGTGCTCTAAGTGTGCTGTGTGTTAGTTGTCATGTATGTGTGTTGTGCATGTGTGTGTGTTCTATGCGTGTCATGTGTGTGTGTTCTGTGTTCTCTCTGTTACTCTCTCTATCGCTCTTCCTCTTCCCCCCCCCCCCCCATTTTACCCCTTCCAGCTGCGAGTGGCCGTCCAAGGACAGATAGAGCTCCAGGAGAACGGGAAGAAGACGGTCAGCGACCCGAGCGTGGGGCAGGAGGAGGAGGAGGGGAGGGAGGAGGAGTCCACGGCACCCATCGACGATGCCCGTCTAGAGGTGGTGAGGGAACCCGCGCCCAGCACTGTGTACCGGCTACACAGCATCAACGCAGCTGACAGGAACAAGAACTCACAAGTCTAGGCGCGTCATTTCGTCAGCTGCGTTGACACAGAACATGCACAGGCTACATAGCATCAACGCAGGCAATAGGAACAAGAACTCACAGGTCTAGGCGCATCATTTCATCAGCTGCGTTAGCTGTGTTGACACGGAACACGTACAGTACTGTGTTTAAACTTCATTGTGTCAACGCAGGTGACAGGAACAAAAGTACAAGAACTCACGAGTCTAGACACATATCGTTAGCTGCGTTAACACTGACCTGCATCCAGTACTGTGTGTAAGCTTCATTGTACCAACGCAGGCGAGAAAAACAAGAGACATGAACTTGCGGGGTTTAGTTATGTGGTTTCATCAGCCAACCAGTAATTAACGTGATAAATGTGACCTGCGATGAATTGATCATTAATTAAAAACAAAACTGTCCCGTCTTGAAAATCAAAATCGATAGTTTGTGGCCTAGCTGGAAGTAACAGATCTAATGTGTTATCTCGTGAAAGGCCCCTGACTGACATAATGCTATAGATTTTGCTTTAATTTAAGTTTCCTTTGAAGAGCTTGGATGTTTCCATCAATTTTCCCCCCAAATTTCTCCTGTGTGAATGAGATGCCTGGATTCGCTTAATCGTTCCCACGAATCGGGGACACGATTGCCCATGTCTGACATACCGGCTTAACAAGAATTTAGATTCACTCAAACATACTCTTGCACAAGCACACTCTCACATGCACGCACGCAGGCGCACACTGGCTGATTGCTTGTGCACCTGCAGCCACAGTTTCTCTGTAGTCGGCGACAGCACAAGTCAGCCACAGCACAAATCAGCCACAGCACAAGCGCATGCTTTCATAACTGGCTACACTGTAGGGTGTTTGTTCACTTGTACCCAGAAGATTGGTCGTCATTTCTTTCATCTATTTATTTCGTCAGTCACCTTTTTCTCTTGATCATCTCACCACTCTGGAAATCTTACTTTTTTTCTGGTCACTTTCTCTGAAAAATCATCGTTTCTTCTGGCCAATTTACCTAAAAATCATCCTTTCCTCTGGTCATTCTTTTCTCTGGTCATTTTGCTGCCACCGTCCTTTTCTGTGGAAACCATCTGAAGCTATTCTCTGGTCATTCTGCTTAAAATCATCCTTTTATCTATCTGGTCATTTTTACTCGGAGTCATCCTTTTATTCTGCTTATTTCACCATCAGTGGTTCCAGCTTTTCTATGACAATCGTCTTTCTTACCACATGATTACCCTCTTCGGCCTCTGATAATTTCCTGACTCGCCTGTTTTTAATCCTTTTCTCATAAGCTCATAGAAGTCATTTTCTGATCAGGGCATTTCACCGATAGTCAAGGTTTTTTCAAATCTGGTCTCATTGAGTGGACTGTCAAGACTGACCACTTTCAGTGGACTTTGGGGGGGAATAACCATCTGATGCCTGATTTCCTTTGCTTTAAATATTATGTTTATGGTGTTGTATATATACGGTAAAATGAAACTGTAAATTTACATTAATTTATTAGCTGTATATTAGTATTATATATTTGGATGCAATTTTACTTTTGCTGAGATTCTCTGATATTTTTTATGTGTGTGACATTGGTGGTCTAGTGGTTAGGCTACTGGACTTACAGCCCTTAGGTTGTGGGTTCAAGTTCCAGTCGTGGCTCGATATTAAGGCCTTCGGAAAGACAATGTCTTTGCACAAAGGCTTCTCACTTCACCCAGGTGAGAATGCTTGAATGGGTACCCGGCTAAAGACGGGGGGGGGGGAAGAATCTTACCATTTTCTGTCCCGGTCGTTTTATGCAAGAAAAATTCTGAAATTATGCAAACTGAGCCCAAAAAAGTGAAATTATGCTATTCTGTTAATTTTGACAAAGAATGTAAAAGGAAAATAAATTAAGCACCAAAAAAAAAATCAAATTTTGCTAAATTATGCGGGGGTGCATATAAATATAACCTCGGGGACAGCATTTTGTTGGTGGCGGAGTGTTTGTAAAAAGGCAGCTTGCCCTGAATACTTCCCTGGAAGCTGAGAAAGTTTCCTGATATTACAGTTGTTTTGTTTTTTTATTCTTAAAATGTATTGGGTTTATTGGGTTGGGGTTGTTTTTTTGGAGTGGGGCAATTTTTTTTTTTTCTTTATTTTTGGCTTATACTTGTACTTGGATTTTGATTTTTTCTTTTGAAGTACCGGTGAATTTGTTGGAGAGAAAGTAAATGTGTGTCTGTTTGTGGTTCCTTTTATTTTGTGTGGAGTAATGACAGAGCGCTCAAGTCCTTCTTACATTCCTGAGGAACAAAACTGTTTTTATTTCTCATTTTATTCTCCCTGCACTGTGTGTACGTGTGTGCGGTGTCCTTCTTTCTCGTCATTGTGTTTTGTTGACGCTGTGTGGCTCCTGTCTGTCATTTCTACTTTCTGCATTCCATCATAGTGTGGGCTGTTTGTGGTTGATGGTGTGGTTTGCTCCTTCTTCCCTATCAAACATCTATCGTCCTTATCTCCCCTTCTTTCCTATCAAACATCTATCGTCCTTATCTCCCCTTCTTTCCTATCAAACATCTATCGTCCTTATCTCCCCTTCTTCCCTATCAAACATCTATCGTCCTTATCTCCCCTTCTTCCCTATCAAACATCTATCGTCCTTATCTCCCCTTCTTTCCTATCAAACATCTATCGTCCTTATCTCCCCTATCAAACATCTATCGTCCTTATCTCCCCTTCTTCCCTATCATACATCTGTCGTCCTTATCTCCCCTTCTTTCCTATCAAACATCTATCGTCCTTATCTCCCCTTCTTTCCTATCAAACATCTATCGTCCTTATCTCCCCTTCTTTCCTATCAAACATCTATCGTCCTTATCTCCCCTATCAAACATCTATCGTCCTTATCTCCCCTTCTTCCCTATCAAACATCTATCGTCCTTATCTCCCCTTCTTCCCTATCAAACATCTATCGTCCTTATCTCCCCTTCTTCTTTTTTATGTTTGTTATTCTCTTGTAACACCTCTAATCTACTGGCGCTCAAATGACCTTATGCAGTTGCGAGCGCCATAAAACCTCTACTAAAACAGGTGGTTGATGGGTGCTCTGGTGTGGTTTGCTCCTTCTTTCCTATCAAACATTTATCCTCCTGATTTCTCTTCTTTCATTTCCTTGTATGTTATTCTCTTGTAACACCTCTTAGCTTCCGCGCTCATGACTCGTATGAACGATATCTCAGACGCATCTGTTGTTAGTGCATTCTCTCTGCATGTTCATAGACGTGTTCTGTCTGTGTGTTCATAAATATGTTCTGTCTGTGTGTTCATAAATATGTTCTGTCTGTGTGTTCATAAGTATGTTCTGTCTGTGTGTTCATAGATATGTTGTCTGTGTGTTCATAAATATGTGTTCTGGTGTTCTGATCTTATGTAGTAAATAAATTGCATTCTCTCTGTGTGTTCATGAATGTGTTCTGTGTATGTGTTCTTGTGTAGTAAATGCTAACTTCTTGCGTGTTCGTAAATGCGTTCTGTGTGTACTTGGATAGTAATTGCATATATATCATGTTCTGTGTGTTCACCAATGCATTCTGTGCGTGTGTTCTGATGTAGTTATTGCGTTGTGTGTGTGTGTGTGTGCATACATATCTAGGTCTTGTATAGTATTGTGACACGACTAATGATCAAAGGTTTTCTCTGTATTGCAATGCATGAATCTTGTTGTTGTTATATATATAATATGTATATATATATAATATATGTCGATGTATTTCTCTATCTCTGATGCCATATCATGCACACAGTTCACTTTGTCATCAACGGGGATCAGAGTTTTGTTGGATTATCATTGTTCGGATATTTGCCTCGTGCACGAGTTTACTAATCTTTGTTTTAGCTTAATTCACCAAGAATTTGACAGATTTAGCTCCCCCCCCCCCCCCCCTTTCCATAATGGTTCATTTTTTCAACCCAAATCTACCAACAACTAGGGTTAGTTTTAGTGTGTAGGAGCCAATAATAATTTTGTAAAGTAAAGCCCATAGAGCCTACTTTTTAGTAAAGATATATATATATCATGACGTGGTGGAATCAGGCGCTCGTCAATTTTTTGGCTTTTAGGGTTATTGATGTCATCTTTACTTTACTTACTTACTTTTCCGATCCAGCGGCCATTTGGGAGATGATGTCATCTTAAAGCCTGTTCATTTACCTCCTTTTTGGTGAAAAAATATCCATCTATGTTGAATAGATGTCGAAATATTTGCAGTTGAAGAACGTCAGTGTCGCCTGGTTTCAGATGTAAAATTAGCGAAAAAATGGCCACCAAAGTTTGGTAACTTCCATAGCCTGGGAGTTCTTGGAAAATGAAAATTTGCATTTTTTGTGCCTTTAGTCAATAATCCTCACAAAAATGTGTTTTTAAAAGGACATGAAAGGTGTTGGGCCAAAAAAAAAAAGATTTTTTTTTAATGCCCTTTGGCCAAAAAATTGCCAATTTCTTTGATTTCATTATTTTGACGAGCGCCTGATTTCTCCACGCTGCCTCACATAATGGCTAAGTCACTTTTTACTTTCGGCGTAGGCTCTAAAAGATCATAAATATTTTACTCTCCATTTGACACAATTTAGGTCATTTATGCTGTACGATGTTCCTGCCAACTTGCCAGTTTGTTGCTCTCGTCCATGCAAATGTCTGTGATTTCGAAGTGCCTGATATCTAGAAGACATTATCTAGCAAGTGTTTTACCGTTCCATTCATAAAATATGATGGCTAATATCTATCATGTGTTTTACCGTTCCATTCATAAAATATATTGCTAAATGTGTTATTATAAGTTTTACTGTATATCACAGATTCACTGCATCTCATCTATGAGATATATATGAAATTAGACTCATCTTTTGGATAACTTACTTGAGTTGATGATATAGGCGTGAAACCCTTATATACCCTTACTTTACTTTTTTTTACACTTACGAAGTCAGGCCCAAAGAAACGTGGGGGGGGGGGGGGAGGGAAGGGTGGTGTTGGACAAATGGAACAGACATTTGGACCCTAGCAGTAACTAGCAATCTGATACAGAGATAATATGCAACTACGTTACAATCGTTATGGTTTTTGCACTTTCATCACATTCATGTTTGGGACCAGCTTTTCTCTGAGAATGTCTGTACAGTTTTCTTTTCAAATATTTTGATGGTCAGTAAATGCAATGTTTTTGTTTATGACCCCTCAGTAAATGCCATGTGTATTCAATAAATGCAATGTTTTTATTTATCATGGTTGATAAATGCAAATCTAATTCAATAAGTGCAAAGTTTTTGTTAGTGACGGTTGATAAGTGCAACGTTTATTCAATAAATGCAATATTTTTAATAGGGACATTCAAAAAATTATGAATGCAACATGATTCAATAAATACAATGTTTTTATTAGCGACGGCTGATAAATACAATGCTTCTGTTAGTGATGGTCAATGCAGCAATGTTTATTCAGTAAATGCAATGTTTCCCTAAGTGATGATGGATGAAGCAACGTTGCTGAGAATCAGGCTTGTGTTAGCGAGCTCTGTGATCTACATATATGTTAGGCAGCGTGGAGGAATCAGGCTCTCGTCAATTTTTGGGCATGTAAAGTTATTGGTATCATCGTAAAGCTTGTTCACTTGTCTTTATTTGGATGCAAAAAAATATCCATTTATCTTGAATACAAGTCGATATATTTGCAAAAGAAGGTGGGGGTCACCTGTTTTCAGATGTAAAATTAGTGAGAAAATGACCGTCAAAGATTAGTTATTTCCTTAGCTTAAGAGTCTGTGGTAACTGAAGGTTTACATTTTTTATGCCTTTAAATAACGCTTTTCAGAAAAATCCACACAAATGAGTTCTTTAATGGGCATGAAAGGTGTTGTGCCAAAAAAACAAAATTTGATAAAAATTCACAAACCTGCGGAAAAATGCAAGTTTCTTCACTTTGATTATTTTGACGAGAGCCTGATTCCACCATGCTGCCTCACATATGTATTGGTAATAAGACCATGAGTATTCTTTGGGACTTCCTGTCGTAATTCAGTGACGCTACTGGCAGGTCCTACTTCTTCTCTTTCCCTCTTTCGTTTCTGTCTGACTGATGTTCTTTTTCTTTCCCTGTTCTTTCTGTCTGTCCATCTGTCTGTCTGTTTTAGATATTTCGGTGGTGTTTCGCCCTTTTTTCCCCTGTTCTTTCTGTCTGTCTGTCTTGCTCTTTCCCTGCACTGAGTGACTGTACCCTGTCAAGTGTTTCTCTTTTACTCAAATTAACAAACGAAACAAACTCGTATAATTCCCTCTCGACCCATCTGACTCTGAGGCAGATGGTGTAGTCTGAAGTTCGTATTGAGTCTACTACTAGTGGTCACTGACTCTCCGTTGTGTGAACAACATTTTTGTTAGAAATACTCGCCATTCATGAAGAAAGATGTATTTTATTTCTATGTATGTCAATGTGGGTTTATGATGATGCGAACCTACGAATGACATGCACATGTGTACCTTCTACTTACGTGTTTGTTCGACTTTCCTCAAAATACTCAGTGGAACTTGGAGCTGTGATGGTTATTTGTTTGGGAGATTGATTTGATTCTTGTGGTTTTTTGGGGGGAAGGGGGTGGAGGCATCATTGAATCATCATGTGTTGTCAAGTCTTGTGTGTGGGCGAGGTCTATATGGGGGGAGGGGGGGGAGAGAGACCATCATCAAATCTTGTGTTCCAATTTCTTCAATTTAGCTTAGAGTATTATATAGCAACATCTATTTTTATATTTTAACCAGATACTTTTGACTTCGCTTTTAAGTTATGGGGGATAAAAATAGTTGGATTATTATAGTTGCAGAGATTGTGGTTGGATTATAGTTGTAGAGATTGTGGTT